TGAGCCCCAGCCCCCCCAACAACTTAGGCCAGAGCCCCCCCAAACAACTCTGACCCAAAGATGATTTGGGGGGCGCCGCACTATTACGGATTCTGGATGTTTGGGGGGGGGGGGTTACTAATCAGGAGGCAACATTAGGGTTTAGTCCTCGTTTTTCTTCCTACCCATAGGCCCTAAAGTATTTCCTTCTTGGGGTTCATATATTATACCCTAAACCCTAAACCCTAAACCCTAAACCCTAAACCCTAAATATAGAATCCTATAAGGTAAACCCAAAAAGGAACTCCAGTGGGGCCTATGGGTAGATACCCTGGCACGCTGCGACTGGCCGGCCAGTAGCCTTCCCTCTTACCCTCCTTTTCCCCTGCTTCGAACCACCTTCGGGATCTAGGTTGTCGCAGTCACCTACATACATCTATGGGGTACATCTATGGCAGAAGAGCCTCGGACTCCGAACCCTTAACCCTGAAGGGGGCTTAGGGGATGAGGGCTTGGCTCAAAAATGCCTGCGGCGGGAAATCCTGGGAACCTTGAATCCTAAATCTACGGGTTAGGGGTGGGGCTTCAGATCAAGGGCTTACCTTATGACAAAATCGCCTCCAAAAAGCCCTAAGCACAAAGTCCTCGAGCCCGGATCTACACAGAAGTGTGAATATGTAATGTATCCTAGCTGGTATTGAGGTTCAGGGCCCTTCTGGTTCTCTGAAGATGGGTAAGCACTCTGATCCCCAACGAGGTATGCTACGCGTACAGTAAGAACATCCTGAATGGGCGCTGATTAAGAGAACCCCCCCCCCTTTGCAGGTAGGATTCTTGTTACCTTGAGGCAAGCCCTCCCATGAACAGAAGATGCACACCCTACATCCCCAACGCCCTTTTCATCAGCAAGTGGTAAACTCTGGCACACCATACAATGTTGGTGGAAATCCCAAACTACACCGACAAGACCCCTAAACGCCAAACCCTAAGCTTCAAACTGAAAGCCCTAAACCCAGCTAGCTCGAAATCCTGAACTCCAGTACTTTAGGATTTCACCGACAAGCAGTGCCGCACTGTGGCTTCATTCTCAGAATCTTTTTTTGGGCAGCAGATCCGGGGGTTTTTTTATGGTCACATGGTTGTGGGCTATGCGGCCGTGGGGTGCAGGGTTTCGCAAAGAGTTTGGGCACTACGGCTCTGCACGGGATCGACGGGCCGAGGGCTTCAGGATGCAAGGCTTATGCTCGGCAGGTCGAGATGTAGTGAGGAGGGCCTATGTGGGTGGTTCTCGAAATTCGGGTCCCCTTGCAGGTCCCCAATTATATTACGGCACCCTTATAAAAAGGACCCGAAAAGGGACCCTAATTTAGAGAACTACCCATGTGGACCTTACGTTACGGCTGTCCTGATGAGCACTTGCCGTACCACTCACCGAACCCGCGGCCCCGCGCTTCAGCCTTCAGCTCGAATCCCAGAGCCTTAACCTTAACGGTTTAGGGTTTCGGGTTTAGGGTTTAGGGATGAGCAATGCCGCGATGCCATCACAAGTACGGTCTGTAGTCAGTAGCTCAGGATCTATACTCATAACTGTGTTAAGCCGTCGTTAGTTCGATCATCGGCAGCAGTAGAAGTGCGTTGCCATGGCTAGTACCCCTGTGGATGGACAAAGTCCTGCATTGCCTTGAGCATCCTAAAGCATAATTAAACTGCGGGAAGCATGGTATAGTCCTCAGTCATGAAGGATGATGCATGGCTTTGTTCAAGTCCTTGTTGTTGTATTGAAGCCTCTGCTTCTGCCTCAGCTGTGCAAGGCCTCCTGAGCCAACAATCCCTTCTATGTTTTCTGTGACAACCGGGGTCCCGCTCACCTTCTGTAGTAGAATACCTGGTTGTGAGTACTATAGCAGGTGTATACGGGGCTTCAGTACGCTTTGCGTTGCAACTGCGTTTCCGGCTTTCGACCCTATAAAACCCGAAGCCCTGCAACTCCAAACCAAGGGTTTCAGAGCTTCTAGCAGCGCAGGTCATGGTAGGCATCCCATATCCTGCTCGCAACGAGCTGCGGGTGATGCTCAAGCAGGCGAAGAATCCGACACCCTTTTCTTAATCTGGGGGCATGTAGGCTTCCTTGGAAAGGATCTATAGGGGCTGCTACAAGAGGTCTGAAAGGAATCTATGACATATTAAGGCCCCCCTATAAGGGGCCTCAATCATGAGAATCCGGTTTTCGGTAGTTTTCTTATACGGTCATGGCTGGCAAGAAGAGCGCTCAGGAACAGTATAAGAAATGATGAAGGCTTCTATATTTCCCGTAGACCCAACGCGTACAACAAGGTAGCTGAACACCCGTCCCTGAAAGCAGTAGGCAGCTGAAGCCACAAGAAAACTCCAACCCAGAGTTAGCGCGAGTTTGGTTCTGTGTTCGGCCAGTACCGTCACGCGTCGTAGGTCAGGAGTGCTCGAATTAGGGCTTCCTGCCGTTATTGGGTGGTTTCTGTGTTCCAGGACTGATTGCATTTGCGTGTCCCTCACAGTCGGTTCGCACCAGAAAAGACCCCGGAAGCAACCCAGAAACAGACAGACCCCGTATGCGCTTTTGCATATAGACGAAGTCGCCACAAAGACAATACTGCAGCATCCTAAACCCTCACCCCGAACACCCTAAACCCACAGAATCCCTTGAATTCCTTGGCAGGATTTCCTGGATGCCAAGGGTGTCCGAGGCGATGGCCAGCGCTGGTACCATCGAGAGGCAGCGGCGGGTAAGGTATGATTTCCGAAAGCACAACATGAAGCCGTGGGAAAATTCGTCCTTGATTAGGCCGAAAAAGTACGGAAACTGAAAGCTCCCAAGCGGAGCTTCTTCCACGTAAACCCCGAACTTACTCCACCAACCGTAAACCCCATCAGCCAAAGGCAGCCAAGTCCCGCTGATTACGCCCCTAGATTTCTAATCGCAATGTATACCAACCTCAAATCCACGCCCCTAGAGCCAGAGTTCTAATCGCAATGTATACCAACCCCAAATCCTGTAAGCTTTAAGCCCCAAAGCAGCAGACTCCAACACATTGAACCTGCCAGAGCTCTCGACGACTGTCGCAGTCTGTTTACAACACCTCATCACCCTACGCCCTACGCCGTATTTGACATGGGTAGCTGTCAAAATTATGGTCCCTTTTTGGGTACCCTAAATAATAGGTGCCGTATTATAATAAGGACCCAAAAAGGGACCATAATTTTGACAACAACCCACATCGCTGCAACCTATGCCCGGGTCCTTGAGACGACCCCAGCCTCGCCGCCCAAGGCCATCCGTGCCGTGAACCAAACCATCGGCCGAGCCATTCGACATCGTCCCTCGGCGATTTATTCGGGGTTCTACCCCTCCACCCACCACTACTACCACGACCATGGTTTCCAATGGGGTCACTACTTCCGCTGCTGCTGCTGCTGCTGTTGCTGCTAGCAAGAAGGCCCGCCGCATGGCTTTTGTCGTTCATTTTTGTGTGAAGTTGCGTTCTCACCACAATTTTAAGCACATTTTAAGGTTGGGACTGGGTTGCTACGTTATGCTTGAGTGCTAGCAAACGTGTGGTATCAGCACAATTTCGGGTGACAAAAAATAAATGCCACATCGGACGGTACAGGTTAGGAATTCCTCGGTATTGACAGGCTCTGGCGCGTTTTCAGCTTGAAACTAGTGGTTTTCGACGGGGGCGGATTTTTTTGTATTGGGTCTTATATTCGGGCTGGGAAACTATCTAGTTACTGTTGTGTGGAGGGTCTTAGGGGGAAGATGCTTGAAGGAGTTCGCAGATTTCTTCGCACACGTGCTCGCTTAAAACGCGCCAGAGCCTGTAAATACCGAGGAGTTCCTCTGCGACACAGGAAGTAGCATGATGATGGTTGCAAAGTGGACGTTATCACCCAGCAAACACATGTCGGAACCTCAACCTCTTTCGAGGCAACAGGCGCCTTCATCTTCGAGACTGGTGTCTTCTCGGAGAACCTGACGACCTTGAGCAGCTGCTGAGGCAGCCGGCAAGGGACTCACGTTGAGGTCATTCGGCCTCGTTTTTCTTCAGGTCGAAGGACACTTTCCTTTTGGTCTTCTTCTTCCGTGTCGTTTCACTCGCAAGCCTTGGTCTTCATTCCGGACTACTCCTACTCCTTGCAGAGCTCATCAGTAAAGACTCAAAGTTCTAGGTCTAGGTCAACCAGAAGTATGCAGTCACACATGATCACAATGCGAAGCAACGGAGCGACGCTGCGCCGAACCTTGGCACGAAACGCAGGGGCGGAGCAGCAGAGCAAAAAGCGAGGGAACCGAAACGGAGCGAAGTCCCTTTAGCCGGCACGGAATGAGCGCACATGCACTATTCGCCGGTGGATTCTGCCATCCCCTCACCTGGAGTCACCGAACTCCACGCCTCCACGCCGTCCATACCACCAATCAGAACTCTCACACGAGCGACTGTGATCGGGCCGGGCCCGGAAGACCCACGAGCAGCCTGAGCTTCCGACCGATAACTTGGCTTGTGGGAGTGCGGTTAGTGCCATTACACGCTGTGGAAGCTCTTGGATTCGCAGCAGATCCCACAAACTCGACGGCTTCGAAGGAAATCCCGACTACCGTCAGGTGAGCCACATTCAGTTCTGCCCTTGTCAGTCCGGGTAACATTTTTTAGCGGGCTGATCTCGGCGTACCTGCAAGCCCGGCTTTTCCGTCAACAAGCTCTAGACAACGAACCGCCCGACGCCTTCTCTACATCTTCCAAGACACAACGGCCTGACTACGAAAGCGTCGAGCTTGCTCTCGTTTCCACCCACTCGAGACCATTGATGCGGATTCAAAAAAACACTCGTGTGTGTACAGGTGATCAGCATGGTTCGCATAGCGGCCCACTGAAAATCACTTGCAAGAGGCGGGTGATGATTCTACCGAAGAATGAGCAGGCAGAACAGCATGTGCACACGCAGGTATGTCTGCTACCATGGAACTCATGGGGTTCTGTTGGTTCACTGTGAATGCATGTTGGCATTTTGTGTGCCTTGTGTCTGGCAATGGGGTTATGGACAATTGTAGGAAGAGCAAAAGCAAGTGCCCCAGCCAGAAAGCAGTCAACCCAACAGTACCAACGACCAGGAACTCGGTCCAACTCTCATATCAAACACAGGAACAAGTAACCAAGCGTATCAGGACGAAGCAGAGTACATCCAAAGATTATTGTGACAAGCTCTATATGGGGTTGTCAGAATCATGGTCCCTTTGGGGAATCCTATATCGTTCTATTTTGAATACGGCACCTTATAGTTTGGGAACCCGAAACGGACCCTAGCTTTGACAACCAGCCATCTGTCTGCACTTCCTTACAAATCGCCGCCGCAGCTGCGCATGCTTGCTGTGACGCGTCATGAAAGAGCGTGAGAGATCAGCTACGGAAAGACCTTGGGCTCGGGCTGGCCCTTGCCTTGCACCTGCCAGAAACGGTTGGTGAAACTGGAGGAGCAGCACAAGACGTAGCGGGTAAACATCGTGGGCTGAGAAAAGCAGTGATGCAATTGATCCACGGCGCCTTACCTTCTAGCCACAGTAAGCTGGGCCTATCCTTCCATCCAGCACGCTAGCCAGACTGACAAGTGGGTGTCTGCTCTGCTGCGCTTGCTACGGTTGACCAAGCAAGCTTCCCAACAGGCTGCGAAAATGGAGACGGGAACATCAGAGCTGGCACATTGTCAGCATGCTTCGACGCTATCGACAAATCAAAGGCCTTCCAACTAAATTGAATCTGACACACCGACCCCAACCTGTTTTTTCTTCCACCCGGCATCGTTGTTGGTAACGAAAGAAATTATAAAGCACCTGGACTTCTTGGGCGTGTTTTGAAGCTTCCTTCTCGATTCCAAGCCTGCGCGAGGTGCTACCACACTGGCTTCAGTTGGCTTACAGTACTAGTTGCCGGTTCATTGCCCATGCAGCTACAGATCCTCTGCTGCCGCTTCTTCTTCTGCGCCAGGACTTTCGATCTCAGGGGCAAAGCTGCCTGGAGTCAGGCGTATTTGTCGTTGTCGACGATGCTTCGTGACAAACGCAACTGCCTTTGGAAGCATGAGAGGTGAGACGCTCACCCTCTCCTGACTCTCGGCAGTGGCACGGACCTCAGCACTCAGCTTTCTGGCACAAGGCCAAGCTCGCAGGCGTGTCAGTGCCAGCACCTTTCTCTTCCGCTTCTTTTTGCAACTTCGCTCGCTCCGCTCCTGCTGCAAGATGCTGCAAGCAAAAGCTTTCCATGTTCCACGGCGTCCTCACGTGCGGCCTCTTTGGAGGCCGCTCCTTCAGAAGGAAGGCTTGCCTAGCAGTGACTGATCGACGACATTCCGAAGAACTTTCAAACCTTCAACGAACAATCATACTCTAAAGATTCCTCCGGCAGTCATATAAGCATAAGTTCATGTGAGCAGCATCGTCGGGCGCTAGCTTGGCAGTGGCGTCGAGGCACCTGAAGAGTGCGCAAGAAGCCAAGCCTCCTGGATGAAATTTGAACGTACTGGTTTGCTGTTTGCAAATCTTTGCATATCTTTGAATCTGTTGGCTCTGTGCAGAGCGGCCTGCATCGCACGTGAGTACAACACAAGAAACCGCGAGGATCGCTCGTCGGGCATTTTGCCGGGACCGCGTACATGGGGCCATCAGTTTGCGACCTCGAAACGAAGTTGTTGGGAGGGCAGCTACTGTCATGCGATGTGCGGATGTAGTGACGGCCGCACTGCGGCACCGCACAGACTTATAAGCTCACGGCAAACGGTGTGTAAAAGCTATGTCGATGTGGAATTCGTCTCCGTAGCTTCTAGATGCTTCTAGGAGTGGATTAGCTACACCCGTTGTCAAAAGGTTGCGACACATGTAACAAGGGCCAATGGGCTGGCCAGAGTGGAAGAGCGCGGAGACTGTGATTGCAAATCCTGAGTGCCTGCCTAAACGTTCCCTTGGTACCTGGGTCTTACACTGAAAGCGGAAAAGGAGAGCCTCTTCTCAAGCTCTGCCACCGTGTCGCAGAGTGCCTTTTCTTGCACAGCGACATGCTTGGCAGTTGATCATTGCCCTGAGCAACTCGCCTCTCGATTCTTCTGCGTTGCTGCGCCGTTAGCCGCAGCCAGCCTACCAAGCGTGGTCATCCTGACAGACTACCCGCCCAAGGCCCCCTGAGGCCCAAACAATCTCTTCTTCAGCTGCTTCACCAAATCATCTGGCACCCTGCATTTGATGACATTGACCAGTTTAGCCATTCCTTCTGCACAGTCTCCCGCCCCTCTGTGAAGCCTTCGGAACACGTTCTCATGGACGCTTCGAACCTTTTTCAACGACCCAGCCATCACTTTCTGGAGGAGACAAGCTGGTGCAATTAGGGCAATGACTAAACCCTCAGCGTACGAACCCTCTGCCAGACCGACGAAGGGCTCAAGGAGTGCCAACACCGCCTGCCGAAGCTACGATTGCCATGTAACAGCCAGCGTCTCACGAGCCGGACCTGTGGCGAGGCCTTTGGGCTTTGTTCCAGTTGAGGGAGAAGCTCATCCCAAAGCACCCGTGTCAACTGCCACGCAGAGACATCGCGGCTCATCAGACAGAGGCCAAACCATGCCAGGCCCGGCTTGCATGATGATCCCAACGCTGGAAGCGCTGTTGGTGCGATGAGGGGCAGGCCTGCAAACTGGCAGCTTCGTGTGGCAGCAAATTCTGATATTGCTGACAACTGCGTGCCTCAAAAGGACCTCTGCGCGATCCTGGACCTCCATGGCAGTGTGGCAACTGCAACTCTTTCTGTGCCCTGTCGCACCCTGACTGGTGCGGCTGGAACCCCAATAGTGGAAAACATGTCCGGCCGTATGGTCCTGAGAAACATTTTTGCCCCGCAAAGATGGAACCTAGTTTCGATGCGTGTTTGTGGTAAGCATGCCAAACTTTTTACAGATACTGGAAGTGTGCGAAATACTAATGGTATTCGTGCCAGTCGTAGCACTAGTCACTAGTCGTTCTTGTTGTACTGCCAATACTTCTTCTGGTACCGGTACAACTAAAGGAGCACCGCCAGTACCGCGAGAAGTACTAATTTAGTAGTACCAGTAGTATCAGCAGTGCTGCTAGTACCACTAGTACTACTGTACTAGTACTACTCTACTGGTACTACTAGTACTAGTAGTACTACTAGTACTACTAGTAATACTAATAGTACTAGTACTACTCGTACTACTAGTACTACTTGTACTGCTACTACTATTACAGCAAAGAACTACTAGAACTACTTGTTACTAGTAGTAGCAGCATGTAGCAGCTTACTAGCACCAGTTTTGCGCCCGGGGTTGAAACTCCGTGGTTAAAGAGCGTTGCAAAACCCTAGTGACAGTAGTGTTGAGGGTGCCACGAGTACAGTAGCACTCCTCCAGTACTATGCGTGACACCAACAGTGCAGGCCATGGACTACTACTGAGGCAATGGCCCGGCTCAGTCAGCTGCATGATGCGGCAAATTTAGTGCAGTTCCTACTTCCCAGGATCTTTTCGAGTGGGGTCAATTGGAGGCCAGGCTTCGTGCCTCGCACGAGATTCTCGTGCAGGACAGTGGCGATCTGCAGTCGCCCATCCCGTTGGCAGTGAATGCACATGTCACATCCAATGGGCTGTGGATATGAGGCACTCTCAGGCAAACGTGCACGGGCTTACCTCGCCCCCAGATTATCTCTGCTTGCAACTATTGCGATTCCAGACTGACGAGGAAGGTATTATGCGACGAGACCATCGGCGCTTATGGGGTACCAACCTCAAGTGCACATGCCCATCTTCGCCACCTCACAATGACTGGAATGCTGGCATGCTGCATTTGAAGTTACAGAGCTACAGCTGCACCAGGGGGAACGACCCACGTCCGGACAATATCGAGCGATCTTGTGTGAGCAAAAAGCTTTTGGTGCGGAAAGACAGTGGGTCACAGATAATGGTCAGCAGCCACAACTGATTCATCGACGGTTGGATGCGCAGATTCATGTAGTCTGGCTTCGACGCAAGGCTTGAAGCGACGAGAAGATGAGACGTGAGGGCTAGGCTGATCTACGGATCCTTAGCGCGCCCATAAGAGGCTCCGATATCATAAATGTGATATCGCCAGCTCACTAGGCGGACATTCGGATTGCTCGCAGCGTGGGGAATGAATACTGCTGCTACACACCACTACTACTACTACTACTACTACTACTACTCCTCCTACTACTACTACTACTCCTCCTCCTCCTCCTCCTCCTACTACTACTACTACTACTACTACTACTGCTCCTTCTGCTATTACGAGAAGTTTCTAAGGATCTCGTTCCTGAGTGGTCAAGCGGATAGCACGCACCTTCCAGTGGAAGCTTCATGGGCTCGGATCCCGTGGTTGCTTTTGCGTGCACCGCGCTTCCTGGATTCTGATTGCCGGATTTTGGAGCCCTGTCAATAGAAGAAATTTGGTACCCTCAAGTCCGGAAACTTTTTTTGATAAGAACGAAACATGAGCTTCAAAATTAAGAAATCTAAGGTCCCTCCACTTCTAACTGTTTGGGGCGGACTAGGGTATAACACTACAGTGCCTGCTGCAGTCTGGCCTCCTGCAGTTGCCATCCACTCGTCCGAAGGTCCTCGGCCAAAGAGTATCGTTGATGCCCAATTGTGCGACATGATCTTCTGCCTTAGCCTTTTTCGGAGTTGGCATTGGTTGTACGCGATGCTTTTTTGAGGGCTACCAACGAAGATCCCACATCTTGAGTAACGAGGTTGAAGCAAGTGGCGCTTTCCACTAGTCTACGGTCGACTCGAAAACGACACCCCCCCTCTGAAATCTGAACCCGTGCCAGTCAAAGCCTTCACGCCCTGTGTTATCGTCTGCTTATGTTCACTTACTTTTGTCCACAGGCAGTTTTGCTCTGTCTGCTCAGAGGTTTAGCACTCGGTGGTTCCAGTGGCAAAGTCTTCCGCGAGATTCACACAATGCAGCATGACGATGACCGCCCATGAACTGTGAGGCTTCGGCTTTGAAGACTTCGGCAAGGACGATTCGAAGCAGCAGCAAATATTTGTTTACCTGAGCATAAAAAGGCAGAATCTGCTCAAGACTTCTCGCTGTCAAGGCTGGCTCGCCGAATGCAATTCCACCTGCCTCGCACATTTCTACATCCGTTGCAGAGGGTCTGTCATCGGATCTGTACATACCGGAACGGTCAATTGCACTCAAAACAACTGCAGTGATTTGCAGAGTCTTTGGCAAACACTGCGTACATCAAGCACAAAAGCTGCTGGTTATGCGGACTAGACTATGGTGGATGATTTCGCGATGACATCAGCCACCCCGTCACACCCATCACTCAATCCTGCTGCCTCCGCCTCTCTTTTTTTGCATGGCACTCGCTGTGCCAGATCCTGCCAGAGGGGCTGCGGTCGTGAGGCCATATGGAACACTGCTCTTGTTCTTGCAAGACCGCCTATTTTACAAACAATCCGATGTCAAAACATTGTGACGAAGGCGCTGCAGCAAGTATTGTTCCTCGACAAATTTTTTTTGTAAAGTCACACCCAATTCAACTTCCGAGACTTCCCACTTAAGAGCATGTTGACCTCAAGCAGCATTATTCTTTTTGGTCACCAGGAAGAGTCCAGAATGAAGCTGTACTCTTCCACTCCTCGGACCTACGCCGACCAATTGCGTTAGCTGTCCATAATTGTCTCGCGAGTCTCCCCGCTCCCCGTGAAGCAACGTCGATTGAAAGGGTGTCCTGTTCGGTTTTTGAGCGCTGAAGGGGAATCGGCTTGTCCTCCCGCGGCGTGTCCATCGCCTGAGGGGTACGAACTGACACCGCGCACCAAGCAAGCATCTGTAGACCATTCCAGTGAATCTCTGACTGGGATTCCGCACCGCAAAGCCAAAGCTCGGTCGCGACGGCATATGTGCCAGGTGCTGGCCGGCAAAATGCCAGGGTGCCCGTACGAAGGACAGCAATGTACCGTAGTCCTCGCGCTGACAGGCACAGTTGCCCATGGAAAACCAGGACAGTGGCAGCCTAGCACCAAGGAGCAGTGCTTATCAAACTGAAGGCCCATGGCGTTGCTAAGGCCAAGCAGTTCCTGGAAGATGCGTAGTGGAGAAGCTCGCCACTACGTTTTGTCTGCGCAGCATGATTTAAATTTGACCCTTTTTCTCTGCACGTGGTCACTGCGCGCATGGGAACTCAAAACGAGGCCGGCACAAGACTGCCCTCCTCTAGAAACTGTTCGCACCACTGGTTCCATGACCTTGCACAGAAGTCTTAGGCCCAGCCAAGGGAAAGCCGGCGCATGGGGGCCATCTATACGTATCCTACAAGATACTACAAGTATCCAGTACTCACTAGGTTCCTCCACAGCTCCACATCAGACTTGATGACTTATTCATTTTGTATTGCCACCTAGTGAAACTGCAGCATGTCGCTGCCTTCCTGTTGCGCGTACACAGGGTATCTGTGGTTAGCCTGCCAAGGTCACTGTACGGAAGATTGTCAACCACCGAACAGCTTGGCCGTGTTTGGTTGGGATGTCCGGTAAGCATCCTTGCTTCACATCACGACAAGTGCTTCGGGAACGTCGCCCCATTCGCCTGCAGCAGATCTACACATGGTGTATCTGGCCTGAGCTAAGTTCAACACTGCCAGCCTGAATAATACCGACCTGAACAGGCATCTTCTCACTCAAAGAAGATGAACTTGGGGATAGCTGACGAGCTGAGGCAAACGCGATAACACCAAACAGCCCCAAAGCACTGCCAAAAATTTCGACAATCAACATCTTGACCTGAGTGAGTGTCATTGAAACCGAGCGCGCGAAGCGAAGACACTTGGATAAGCGCAAACTGCCGACACTGCCGACACTCTCACTCACCGCCTTGAGGTGGGGACAAACAACTCAGGTCGCTGGGCATCGCCCAAAGCACACCCACTTCCAGACACACCAACGCAGATACCGCCTCATGCCAGATTGTTTACAAGAGTTCACAGGACGTCCCAGGAAAATGCGTGCCTCTGATGCTCTTGAATCGTGGGGCCGAGCAGCAGAACAGGTTCGACAAGCCCACGGACAAGCCAACACAGAACATGCACCAGCCTGCCAGACGTTTGAGAATTCTAGTGCATGGTGTGGGTCTCATCATTCTCAGCTTAATCTAGGAACCAGGCCTGCCACCATTGTCTGCGCCTGCGCAACACCACTTCAGCCCGGGTTCACACGAGAAGCCGACAACTTTCTGCTCGAGCTGGACATGACAGTGAAACCAGTGCCTGCCAACCCTTGGGCTGGGATGGCACGTCAAAAATTTCAGAGCCCTCGATTTTGTTGGCCATGATGATTGCAATGATGACCTTGGTGGACTCGATTAGCCCCTTGCTGTCAAGACCGTCCGACCGCAGGCTACTGCAGACAAGTTGCCCCGTAGATGGCAACGGCTTCACAGAAAATGATGCTAACCAAGTTCTTAGAGCCTCAGATGTCATTCCGCAAAGGCGATCGTCTGTGGCTCTTTGACCCAACTGGCACAGCACTTTGTTGACTGTATGAGGCGCTGATGCGTGGCGCCTTAATGCCCGCGCCCACGATGCTTGACCCAGTCAAGAAGATACCCCAGGCGGCGCCTGTGAAGGCAAACTCGCAAGGCAAAGCTGTCGACTTGAAACCCCTGTGCTGGGGGCCTAGAACTGAAATTCCCAGCGCAATCGCGATGCCCATGTATGACCACATATACGGACTTATGGCCTGGTACAGGAGAAGCAAAACTTGCAACCAGGGTCATTCAAGTGTTCAGGCCTCGAACAAGCAGAGGTACGAGGTCGTGTAGCATGCCTCATGCCAAGCGGAATGCATGTGAACTCTAGTCTGCGCATGTCTGCGCAATGGCTGGGCTCGCAGCCTCATGTGGAGGCTTTGCGGCCTCTGGGGCCTTCATCAGGGATCGTGAAGGAAGGGTTGGGTTGCTTTGGAAGTGTCGCCTGCTGTGACTACGCCCAGGTAAAATCACACACTTGCTCTCACGAGCAGGCTGCATGTATGATCCAAGGTGAACCGAAAGACTCAAGAAGCCCGCGTGAAAACTCAATTGCGCGGCGTTCAAAACCCTTCTGTCATGCTGTTCTAACAAGATGGTGCTATCGCCGAAGCCAACGCATTGCTGGCGCGCCCTGCGGAGAATCTGACGCACCGGCATTTTCGGCATTCACCGACGCGTTCACTATCGCACCACTGCCGCGCACCGAACCCCAGCTGGCGCGAACCAACCACTCTTAACGTTGATATAACCTCCCACTTGGGTTTGGATGCCGGAAAAAGGGAGGCGAGGAAGCAAGCTGTTGGTGGAAGTATCTCGGAGCTTGTTAAACATACCAGGGCCCCGTCACGCCTTGTCGCACCAAACCCGGGTGGCCGATAGTTCGTCAATAATAGCCCACGACAGTTAACTTGAAGGTTTGATTTCCATGTTGGGAGCTTGTGCATCAGCCCAGTTCAGACCTCGGAGTTTCAGACCATTCACCTTCTTCTCGGTGGATACCAGGGAAGAGTTTTGAAGTCACCGCC